CCAGGTCTATGCCCACCAGATTCCAGCAGCATTGTCCTCAAAATGTCACAGCTAGAGTGTCAAATGTCTAGGGAAGGGAGGAGGCTGCCCCTGGTGGAGATCCATTGAGTTCCAAAAATGTAGGTTTATCTCTGTCGCTAGCTAACAGGAGTTAGGCTCAAACTGCCAGCCCCATTTCTCCCTTTGCCATACTATGGGCATAAATTAAGTACTAGTTTTTAGATCAGAAACTAGACAATAACATTTTTCATCATCCTGCTGTGTTTGTAATCAGCATGGAACATGCTATTACTATTATTACTATTTCGTTCACTGCTGTTGTTATTGACATTGGTATTTCCTCATAGCTCTTATAAAAAAATAAATGAGCTTACAAAGCAAAAATGCTTTCTCAACTGTTCAGCATATTTGCATTTTAATCTTCTCCCAAATATTCTTAGCCACACATGAGATTACTAATTTCCCTAAGAATAACTGTGTTTCTTGGCCTCTCAGTATAGATTCCCTCTATACATCTCTTTACATATTCTAAGGATAGCATTAAAGGAAATCAAAGGTTCTTACAATGTTTAGTTCCTTTTTGATGGATTATTAATATCTATCCCCTATCATTATTTTCTCTCAAAACTTACAGCATGGAAAATTGCTGTCAAATTGGTATTTGCTTCCTGTAATAATATTGTGAAGCAAGGGTATCAGCATGTAATTCACCAAACAAGATATTTGACTAGAAATGTATGGCTAAACGTTATATTTCACTCTTGAATTAACTAATGCAAAATTCAAAGCATGCCATTTCCTGCTGAGAAATTAGCAAAGCAAAAGTTGATAAACATATAACAAGGACATAGAGGCTAGGCCTGCAGACGTCCAAGGGGTAATGGAGACAAGATAAAACCTGGTATCTCTGCCTTCATTTTAGACCTACCTCCTTCCTTAACACCTAGGTCAGCTCTCTGCTCAGTATTACTCCTGGATATGTTTATCTCTTAAGTGTCTGTCAAAAAGCTAGTAAGACAAGAATCAGTAGTCCTAAATTTACCAAACCTACTTGATCCCTCTTCAAGACTGAAGGCACCAATTTAAGAGTAAGTAAGGTGTTTCCAAGATTTGCCAGGAAATTCAGCATCTAGCTTTTACAACATCCTTTTGCAGAGTCCCCAGAGAGCTCCCATATGTCTCCCCACTCCTTGTCCCAAAACAACAGTCACCTCAGTTCCAGGAGGCGTAGAGACTGTCAGGCATTCACACCATGAAGGAACTGAGATCCACCTTGAGGAGCAGGAGCAATCATCTTATGAGAACCAAACTTTCTCCTTCAAACAAAAGGATTTCCTGACAGAACCAGTCCAGAGATAATAATCTCCCAGACCACAACTTGATCTGGACTACCTACCCTGCCAGCTGAGCAAGCCCCTAGCTATGCAAACCCGTAGACACTACTTCAAAGTTTCTTGCAGAAACTTAAAGACAGATGTTGAATCTTTTCATCAGTCATTTCCCAATGTGGTCACGCTGACTAAAGCTCCTGTCTAACCCTGCAGTACTGTTCATCTTCTTGATTGATGTTTTGAGGTGGGTGGCCAAGCTTGGTCTGTTGGGACCCCCAGGCCCAAGGCTTTGTCATAAAAATCTAGTAAGTGCAAAATAAAACTGGCAGTGACCAACATGGTCTTCCAGTCCTGAAACTGACAGATGCCTGTGTATCTGTTTACCCCAATCTGGTTCTTAATATTTTCATTTTTCTGACGTTAGGGATGGAACTCAGGGCCTGATACATGCCAGGAAAGTGCTGTGTCACTGAGATACAGCCACAGTCTCCAATCTGGGGGATCTGCTCAGAGAGCTCCTTGCATCTAAGCTGCCCAGGGTAGAATGCAATGGCTTGCTACATACAGCTCTTCAATGCGCCTTGCTCTCCTTCTTGATGGTGCCTAAATATCTTCCTATTATATCTATTCTATGGACTCTAAGTATCTGCTTTGCCATTACACTGACAGTCTTAGAATGTGTGATCTCAGCCGATCACACCATATTTCAGAGACAAAATGTCTTCTGTGTAGAGGGATGCCAGAATATGCAACTGCAAAAACGTTCTTTGACATACAGATTATTTTGAGCTAAAACCATTGAGAACCAGCAAACACAGAAAAAGCTCAGCAAACAGAGCACAAATTTTCCTTTTAAGGAGAACTTCTATTTGCAGAAATATCTCCCTCTCCTGTTCCAGAAAGGCTGCTCAATAGAGAAGGTACTTACCTGCAGGCCAAACCTAACAAATCTCATGTTTTATACTTTCCTGGTCACCCTCCCATAATGTACCTCTCTGACCCTGGTAGCCTCAGACTCCTTTTCTCTCAGCCTGATGTGATATACAAGCTCAGATTCTAAATATGCCCATATGTTACTCATTCGGGGCGCCCCACATATGACATGATGATGTCCATGTTAATAAACCTGTTTTCCACTTGTCAACCCACCTTTTGTTATAGAGTACACCTGAGAACCTACAAGAAGTAGAAAACATATTGTCCTGCTCTTCCCTCTTCTTATGCAACCATGATAGGAACACAAAAGACACCAGCCCTACACCCTCTCTGGGGCCCATAGAAGGGACCCATGAGACCCATGTTGCTCTGTATCCTCATCCAAAAGGTGAGGTCCTGGTAGACTGGGATGAAGGGAGAGAGAAAAAGGACATAAAATCACAGCTCTCAAGGTCTTTCAGGAGTTGGAAATCCCATAGCTAGTCACTTCTTTCTTGTAATTCCAATCATCATAATTCTAACCACAGGAGGGTGAGCAGAGCACATGAATGAACACATCCTTTTAAATTGTTGATAACAGCAAACCACAGAAAAGACCTTGAATGTCTGTCTCCGCGCATGGGGATGGATGAGAAAACTGTGACGTGGTCACTTTGGGAACCGCTGTGTGACCATCCCACATGAGTGTGTGGCAATTGTACAGCAAACTGAAAATGCTATTTATCATGTGCTAGGAAAACAAGAAGGGCATGGTACGTTGTGTGTGTGTGTATGCGTGTGTGTGTAGTGTGTTTTGACTGTAACACAACCCTATAAAATGAATAGCAACTCAAAGACCACTTCCTGACCTGCCTTGTTCCACCTTTGGCTTAGCAAAGCTTCAGTCTCTCTCCATACAAAGGCTTTCACCTCCTCTGCCCACAGGAAAAGACACAGACATCAACTTAGCCTACAGCTGCACTCCTGGGATGACCCCCCTGCCCCAGTGTGCCTGCATGAAAATAAAAAGACATGAAACTCAAGGCTGGCAAGAGAACTTAAAATTTGTTTGAACTGGCAACTGATAGGTCATTCCTTTTTCTAAAGTATTTATGAAAAAAGCCTCTAAATATGAGTATGTATCTCCTATACCACAGGAGTTTTGTTCACAAGGGCCGAAGGCCATGACTTTGACATGTTCAGGAAGGACAGGGGCTCTGCCCCCAGCTCCATGAGGACAGAGAGCTAGCTCCAACACTGCTGCAGACAGCACCTGGTGGCATGCCACCGACCAGCCCTTTGTCCCTTTGCAGTTCCCTGCTCTGATTGAGCCTTGCTTGCCTCCGTTTCTCTTCCCTCACTCATGCTTTGCAAGGCCTGGGCACCTCCATCCACACTGGAGTTCACTCCCTTCCCTGTTGCGATGCTCTGTGACTCGTGGAAATCTGTCCCTGTTGCTCTCCCAGGGTCCAGCTCTGTTCATCTTCCGCAGCATTAGTTGCCAAGGAACTGAAACAGCCTGCCTCACCAGCCTTGTGTAAGGGCCAGGGAGCACCCTCATTAGACGTCATTAGCCAAAGCATTCTTGGGTGTTTCGGAAAAGAACAATTGCCACACATTGCCATGAATAAAAGTTTAATGAAACTTTGCCAGAAAGCAATTCTGATTTATGAATTCCACATTCAGCTATCTAAGTCCATCTGGTATGTGCATCATAATGGTGACTTTTTGGGTAATGAATTCTTAGGGTCGTGAATGCTGTATGAATTCCCAGTGAGACAAGCATTTGGATGGGTGTGAATGTGTCCTGGTGATTGCTCATTATACTCAAATACTAGGTTTACACGGTGGCCTTTCTGCCTTCCTTTAGTGCCTCAGAATCTAGATGCATAATCACACATGAGGGCAAAGAATAGCTACTCTAGGAGGAATATTTCAGCGTGTACTACATAGCAGTCTCTTTAACTTAGTGTTTTGCAATGTATCTCAGAAATAATTAAGAGTTTTCAAAGAATTTAGGAAGAAAAGAATTTGCATTTAAATTCATGTTCTGGAGTTCATGTAAGAGCTGGTGTTAGAAGAACTGACTTTGGTAGCACATCTCTCATCCTCAGCCCTCACCCCTCTGGTTCCTCTGAACTTGGAGTGGCCTGAAGGTAGCAAGCACTCTTGGAATTTTATGGCTCTGCTCTTTCTGTATGTTCTAGTCTCTCACTTGTAGTTCTTTGACTATCTGATGACACCCAAGGAAAGCCTGACCATATTTGAGCAGCCTCCAGCTCTGCCCTACCCTCCTCTTGCTGACTTCTCTTCCAGCCTCTGCTACAGCAGGAACCATCGCATCTCAGCACACCCACCTTGCATTGTTCTAGTAGTGGTTGCATTTCTTACTGTACATAAATTTTTATAGGGCAAAGAGCATTGTATCCCTGTTGCCAAACATTATTTCCAACACAAGGCAAGGATTTGGAAGTGTTTAGGGGCCAGCTGGCTGAAGCCCTTACTCTTACCAGACATCATGGATTAAATGAAGAGATTGAGATTTTAATTGTTCTCTCTTTCATCCAAGGTACAGACATATATATATATATAATATGTGTGCATGCAAACACATACACAGACTTGTGAGATGGTTTAAGCAAAGATCTATATAAAACACTGAAAAATATAAAAGTGTGATCACAGGCTCCTTGTCCCCTCTGGGTTGGGAGCTCTGAGTTGGGCTGTAGAAGGAGATTATGAGATGTGACTTACATTTTGCAGCTGCACGTGGCTTTTCACCAAGCTCTCTGACTTTGACATCATGCTGGATGCTTTGAGGCTGTAGTTTTTACCATTTTGTGACTCTTTCAGCTGCTCTTGGATTTGTTTAGCTTGCTTCCTACAGGAATAAATACATGCATAAGTATTTACATACACACTGTTGGCTTAATATCTGAGGTCCATTCATTCCCAGTGGCTACATCTGTCATTTGTGAAAGTTAGATAAATTTACTTAACAAAGAGCTCTCCTTTTCAACTCTGCCAAGAAATATTTCCAATCAAGAGAAAGCATGATATTATTTAGTCTCCTCCAGGGATTTATAATCACTGGTACTCCAGAGATAAACAGGAACCTACTATGTTTTCCTGGCCTCCATGGTCACAAGAGGTCCCTGAACCTAGGCGCTAAGCTATGAAGAGTTGAAAATGCTGCAGAGAAGTGGCTGGCAGACCCATAACCACTTACTTCCAAGGATACATTTATATTTATGCAATGTAAATATGTGGGGCTTATATGCACAGCTCACATAGGTGTAAAGTTGTGTATTTTCTGTCCTTCACAGTTTGGATAGAGTTCATTTATTGTTACCAATAGCCCAAATAATAAGAATAGTTCACTTTTAAAGGCCTAGTAATAACGTGGTAGTGTGCAATATACCATTTCAAGTGTTTTACTCATTTATTGACTCATTTATTTTTTTACAGTGATTCTATTTGATGAGCCAATTTTATACCCATTTGGTAGATGAGAAGATGGAGGCACAAACAAGTTAAAGCATTGGCCCAGCATCACAGAATCAGTGTTAGTGATTGACTTTCATCCCATAAATATGGGTGTATATTGTCCAGTTGGAATCACTGTCAAGCCACTTATATATGGCACTTCAGGTACCAAGAGGGGAGGCTGAGATTATTCTAGTTTTTTGGATTCCCAAGTAAAGTGCTCCTGCCTGCCGTGTGGAGTGACTGCTGGTTAGGTCCATTGGTATGTACCCCAGAGTAGAAAAACTATTCCCTGATGAGCTGCATTGCCCTGGGAGATTCCCAGCAATTATCATCAGCATGAGAGCAGTGTCCACAGAAACACCTTTGCAGAATCATCTCTGAAGCATGCCTTTCCCTGAAGTTCTCAGGCAAGGAGAGATGTTGCTGGCCTACATCTCCATGGTGAGATTCTCAGGCAGGCAGCCCTCCCAGATGATGGACATTGGAGTCTCAGGGGCTGGGGTTTGAATCCTGACTCCATCCATCACATTACAATCACTTAAGCCTCACTGAGCTTAGGTTTCCTCATCTATAAATGGAGCTCATGAGAGCTTTCTTCCATGGAAACCATGGCAAATAAACATAAGAGAGCAAGCAAAATGTTTGTCTCTTTTCCTTTCCAATCTGCAAGAAGCTCAGAAAGGCTTGCTGTCAGATGCTTCAGAGGAATTAGGACCCTGGCCCAAAGACAAAAAAAAAAAAAAAAAAAAGAACTGAGTCCATCTTTCACAACTTATCAGTATTTTCTAAAGAATATGAAAGTTAGGAGCATCACTTCCGCATATGAACTTATAACACCAGTGTGCTGTACCTGTTTATTTAAATACTTCTTTTAACTTTTTAGTTATTTGTGGGCTTTTTATCTCCAACACTTTCAGTTGTTTTAATACAACTGTAATAATCTTATGTACTCTTTAACAACTCATCTGTAGCCTAGTATTAAAATTAAGTCCATCCAGTGAGCATTTAAGAAGCACATTGTGGCCACAAAATCCTTCCAGGGATCCATTGAAGAAGCAAATGAGAACTCAGTGGGTGCTGGCCAAGTGAGTCACTCTGCAGCAGCAGGAGGATGCTTGGCACAGAATAAGGGCCCAACTACTCTCCTAAGTATTAAAGTACCAGAAACACTATCTTCTCAGTAGTCCCATATTCAGAGTGTTGGAAATATAAACTTTTAAAGATACATTCCTGTGAAAGTATCTGACTGTGTTTTCTGAGCCCTTGTGTAGTTAGGCTTCCTTCACATGTCACACTGCAGTCCTGACACAGTCTTTTTCCAAGGTAAGTGGTCTTTGTTTCAGAGCCTGCCCTCTCCTCTCCTCCGCACACTCTTTAGCACCTTCTTCCTCTGCTCAGGGAAGAGGAGTGAGCAGCATCTGACTGCAATTGCATTAGCTCTCTCAGGAGAACAGTTGCTCCCCAGAAGACAACAGTAGGTGCATTATATCCAGGAATGGGACTGGCCCAAGCCAGTGTTTTAAGCTTTAAGTTTAAGTTGAAAGTCTTCACAGACTATGAGTTTAAGTTTCTCTGGTCCACTGCATTAGAAAGAAAAGAGATGGATGTTTCAGAACAGTGTGCATCAGAAGCTTGTGGGAAGACATTATCTTTTGTACCAGAGGTTGAGTTCCCAAGGAAGTAGGAGTGGAGATAGCATACGAGAGTATTATTAGGGCTGAAATTGGGGATCAATTCCCATGAGAGGGAAGAAAATAGGATTGGACAGAAGGAGAAGTTTAAATGTAACTGAGTCTTGGTGAAGACCTCAGCAAACCCCAAGAGGAGCTCTAAAGCTGGCTCAGTCTTGCACTCCAATTTGAGGCAAAGATCTAGTTTTCCAAGCCTTACCTTGACCTGTGATTGGAAGTAGCTTATCTCAGAACAGGGCAGGTGATTGATAGAGGCAGCTCGTTTTCAGAGTTGTCTCCTGACACCTCCAGGATTTTGACCTCTTGCGCTAAAGAGGATCGCAGCAGTGCCTCAGGGTGTCCCTCTGAGCTGAAGCCTCTTACTCTGTAAAGACCACCCACAGGAAAAGGCAGGCTACCCTGTGCCTGGAATACCAGTCCTCCTTCTTTCCTACTGGTTTCCTCATTTTGATAATTACTGAATCCAAGTTCAGCCTCCTTGAACATGTTTTTTCTTATCCCCAATCTACTTGGAGAGTCCAGTCATCAATGTATTTTCAAACTCTACTAAGAACTCCTACAGTCAACTTAATCCATCTTACCTATAAAAGTTGAAAGTAAAGAGGAGTCCATTAAACATGTGTAGTTTCCGTATGAACCATGTCAGCCAGAGTTGAAAGGTCTGACCAAAAGTGATATTGCCAGTATACGGAAATGCATGGTCTCATTGTGAGTGATCAGAAGAGAATTTCTTTTACCCTGTCTTTAGTGTTTTGGGAGAGTTAAAGTAACTGCATCAGAAAATCCTCCAAATTTAAGATGCTCTTCATCCTTGCCTTAGCATCTTTCCTACCAACACACTTGAATCAGAGGTAAGCTTTGCTCTCATATTCCTTCTAATTAAGTCATGCTACACCAAGGGTGACATATTTTGTACCTGTCAGTAAGGGGAGATTAAGGTATTATCTGCCTATTCTGTTATCCCCAAGGTTTGAGAAAGGGAATAAAACATCCAGGCATCCAGAAAAGAAACTTGTACCAGGGTATAATAAAGTCTATACTATTGCCAAGAACATGGACTAAGGGCTTGGAGAAGGGAATGGCATTTCTCTCAGGCAAAGGAAAATGAAGGCCATGCCTGGCCATTGGAATAGGAGAAGCACATACTCGCTGGGCACCTCATGAGAAACATGATTCCAGTTAGAAAGGGCTTGATTTTGCTATTGTTATTTTTATATATGTCTGTGTATTTTTAATACAAACTCATCCTGGAGGGGCAGTCAGAAGGACAGCCCCTCGGGGTACTCCTCAAGAGCTTGGGCCTCTGGTCTCCCATGATGAATCTGACATGGAGTGATGTTTGCATTAAGTACCCTGACCCCTCACCAAGCCACAGGAAGAGCTGCTGGTCTCAGAGCCCATGTGCTGCCCAGGTAGCAGATTGATAGCCCTGAAGACAGAAGTCCCTGGTTATCCAGCTTTGTTCTTGTGATTACCATAATCAGCCTTGCACTTATGTGTGGTACAACTACCAATTATATTCTGAAAATAAGCAGTTAACTGCTTCTTCATAGTAATCTGCTTATTGTTAAATACGCAATTTCTGTCTCACACACAGCTCTGAAGAGGAGACCTTTCCTGCACCCTGCCATGTGTGATGACCCATCACACTCTCTGGGGCATGTGCTTAACTTTGTGGCCACACAGTTTCCAAGTCCTTGTGTGGAATGTGGAGGACCATGGGTCTTAGCAACAGCAAGCCGTCATTGAGCATGCCTTCCTTCAGCACTGCACTGTGTGCTCTATGGCATTATCCCATCTCATCCTCAACACAATTCTGTAAGGGTGATACTATTTTTTTCAAATGCTTTTTTGTTTTTACAAACAAGCAAAAAAAAAAAAATCCCTGAGTCTAAACAGATGTAATAAAATTTGCCTTAAAACACAAAAAGCAAGTGACAACCTAAGGACATGAATGTAGCTATGGCAGACAGCGATGAAACCATGACCACCATGCACATGAACTGCCTGGAGGCCATTCCATGGGAGGGATGCCATCAGAGGGGAATTTTGGCTCACTCTGGGCAGGTTCTCCATCTACCTGGAGGACTCTCTCAGTCAACAGAGCATGGGAGTCAATACCATGGGATTTACACTGGAACTGGTGAGCATCAAAGCCCTGTATCATTGACAGTTTAATATTTTAAAATAAATATCAATGTTATCTGCTCCAGTTTGTATCTGAACTGCCCCCCAGAAGCCCACGTGTTGAAGGCTTGATCCCAGTTTGGAGTTCAGGACAAGTGCTGGACACTCTCAGGTGTGGAGGCTGTGCTGCCTGGGAGTTTGCATGTGAGGAAGACAGCAGGGCCCCACCCCTTCCTGTCTCTTTTTGAGCATTCCACCTTGAGGGGACCGTACTTCCTCTGTCATGTGCTTCCACCATGACTGCTGCACCACAGCACCAAAAACAAGAGGCCAACTGATCATGGAGTGGAATCTACAAAGCTGCAAGCTGAAAACAAAAAGCAAAAAGCAAATCTTTCTTCTTTGTAAATTGATTATTTCAGGCGTTTTCTTATGCTAAGAAACAGTTGACTAGCACAGTATCTGAGAATCTCAGTGACACGACGTACAACTCAGATTACTGAGAGGATCAGAGGCTGATACCTGAGAAGCCCAGTGTGCCTGGGAAAGAGGAAGTGTCTGCAAACGGACCAGTTACAACTGTCACAGCCCAGAGCTGTCTTGAAACAAGAAAAAAAATTAGGTGAAAAATGAAGAAAATCTGAAAGTGTGGCCTTTGTATCATTGTATCAATATTGTATCAATATTATTCCCTTATCTGTGATAAGCACAATGTTCTAATGTAAGATATTAATAATAGGGCAAAGTGAGTCTTGGGTATGTAAGAATTCTCTCTACTATTTGTATACTAATACTGAAAATCCAATACTTGTCTAAACTAGTTTATTAAACAATAATAGGCACCATCTCTGTGTCTATGCCTGAGTTCTGTTACTTATTTTTAGGTCATAATTGTAGTTCTCTAAAAAAACCAGCATACACAACATGCAAAAAGGTATTCTCAACTACACCTGCACATCAATCCATTTTTAGAAGAGCAAATGGTTAGGCTAATATCAGCCTGATGAAAAGCAATTACATGTTGGCTTGCATTTCAGACAAGCTGTGGGTCCAAATCTGGGCCAACTTTTTTAAAGCTCAGATATCCAAATGGCTAATGTTTTTATCTGTATTTTTAAGTGCAGATCACATCATTTCCATAAGTAACTATCAGAATTCATTTGGAGAAAAGTACAAACACAAAGCACCTTCATTTGCTGAAGGTCTACTTTCCAGACAAGTGAACTTGAGGCACGTTCCAGATGTGTATACCAACTGGTCAAGCAAGGTACATTTCTTAGTATTCTGGCTTTCTACTTGGGTAAAACCTTTAGGATTTTGAGGTAAACAGAGTATGAAATGAAAGCTATTTTTTGTTCAGTATGTTTTTTCTCTGAGTGGTAGGAATGTTTAGGTTCACTCCTGTGGACCCCTATTCAGAATGGTCAGCCCTTTGGTGACCAGCAGACACCTGGCATTTAAGCAACCCCTGTAAACAATCACTCTATGTAGCAAAGTTAACCCTCACGCCCACTCATTCACATGCCTAGACACTATATTCTACACCAATCTTTGGTCATTTGCTGATGGCTGCTAGAGTCATTTGCACAAAATTCCTCTGCTTGAAGAAGAGACCAAAGACATAAAGAAAGACCAAGTGCTTTCTTTGACAACCGACCTTTTAACATTTGAGAGAAATGGTCTTACTTGCTTTTGAAGTAGAATGCTGCACAGAACATGCCCACGATGACAATTCCAAAGATGATACATGAAATTGACAGCACCTGCCTTTGATAAACTTCTTCACTCTCTGTGAATTTGAAAAAACAGAATTAGATAGATGCTAGCAGGGTGCAGCAGCGACAATCTCCGTCTTTGTACTTCCGAACTGGTAGGAGTTTTTCAAAGCCAACTTTTTTGTTCCTGTCATGAATAGGAAAAAACATGAGGAAGTTATTATGGTTCAGTCTCTCTGCAGAGCTCTGGAGGATAACTGGCTGCTATATATACAGCTTTTGCATCTGCATGGTTAAATCAGGACTCACTCATATCACATATTGTCCAAAGTCATTCATATCGTACATCATATTGTCCAAAGTCATTCTAGGACACACAGGCTTTGAAATTGTGCTGGCACCAAAATTAATGAACTACAGAAAGAAATATGTCCGTCTGATCTTTCCTGATCCAATAACAGCTGCTTAGTCTCTGAGATGCTCATGTGCTTGGGTTTCTGATTCTCCTTTGGTCCTTGGCTCTGTCCCTCACTCAACTTTCCACTGTCATGACTAACATCAGTCATGAAAAGGAATTTCAACAGGCATGTGAGTATTTTATTTGCTCACTCTGTAAACTCCTCAGGACTAGGCTCTGGCACAGTAGACTTCAGCCACCATTACCAACATGGCATCTTACTGCTTTTCATCGTTAAAAAATATGCAAAAACAAACATTTCTCTTTTCAGTCACTACAGTTTACACTCTCAGTCCCTTTTCTGAATATCTGTTAAATCAGTTCTTCCTTCACATCAAGAGCTGTAGGCCCTAGTACTTCATCTGTAGGCCCTAGTACTTTTTCACTGGAAATTATCTTCCTCCTGTCTTCTCCTCTCCCTTAAACAGAAAGAACTATGATACATAATTATTTATTTGCTCACTTGCAAATACCCTCACCTGAATTCCTTCTCATTCTTTTCCACTTATTTGGCAAGATAATCATGTATAAATACAAGAAACTGCCTTCCCATGTCTACCTTGAGCAGATCAGAACTAGGGAAGAAGACTGCATAATCCAGCAGGTGGACACCAATAAAGGATGATAATCACAGTGCTTACTAGATGTGTGATAGTCAGGACAACCTCATCAGACTGTGTCCCAGGATCTTGATGAGCATCCTTACCTTTTCCACTCTCTATCTGACATATCCACCTTCCCTCAACCTCAGTTTATCCATGGTTCACTGTTTTCATAGTCTAAGCAAAAATCTAGCTACCACAGTAGAAATAACTAAAAAGCAAGGAAGTAGGGAGATTTTTTTAAAAATGGATGAGGGAATAAGAGATGGCCTAGGGGAGGAAGGGGGAGGAAGGGGAGAGCAAAAGGATGGGAAAAAGAATCAAAGGGGAAACATGATGAAAATAGAGCTTCTGCAAAGCAGAAGAAGACCAAAAGTTGGAACAAGGGTGGTGGGGAGTAGGGAATGAAAAACAAGAATTAAGATATATTATGTATACATACCAAGTCCTCACCATAGATGTAACTATGTATTACAAACAGGTATTAATAAAAAAACTGAAAAAAGTGTTTAATAAAATTAACATCAATTAAGATTAAAACTCTCAAAACTAGACATGAATATTATATATATATACATATATATGTGTGCATATATAATATATATATTATATATATATAAAATGATCAAAACTAAAGCAAGAATGTCTACTTTGACAACTTCTATTCAACATTGTATTGTGCTGAAGGGTTAGCCAATGCAATCAAGAAAAAAACACAGTAAATCTATGTCTTTTGGCAAAGTAAAAGAAAAATTGTCTTCACAGGCAACATCATCTATGCAAAAAAGTTGATGGAATCCTCAGAAGTCCTAGGACAACTCCTGAGGAAGGCTCACCATTTTGCAAGATATGAGGTTACAGGGTAAAAACATTGAGAAGATATTCAACAGCAGCAAATACTCAGAAATTGAAAAAAGAAAAACAAAAACAACACTACAACATGTAAAATGCAGAAAGAGAAATGTGATGAAACATACACAAAGACTGTTGGGAAGTTTAAAACATCACTGAAAAGACTTAAAGAACACATCAGTGGAGAGATGCATTATGTTTTTCGGCTAAAAGATTTAACATTAAGAAATTCTTTCCATGGTGATAGATTGAGCACAATCCTATTAAAACTGTTAGGAAGCATTTTTTTTTTTTTGTTTTTCTCCGGTACCGGGAACCGAACTCACGACCTTGCACATGCCAGGCAGGCGCTTTTTGCCGCTGAGCTAAATTCCCAGCCCAGGAAGCATTTTTATTGTTGCTGTCATCACAGGCACTAACAAGCTGATTGTAAATTATATAGAAATGCAAAAGATCTAGAGTAGCTAAAACAAATTTTCTCATCAAGATAACAACGTTACACAACCTTATTCTATGATTTGTTATAAAGCTAGATTAAAAGTAATATGGTAGCAGCCTAATTCCAGACCACTACATAATGATCTAGATGGGAACAGACAGAAAAGCTCAGAAATGCATGTACCCTAACATATGTCTTAATCGATGTTTCACAAAGGATCATTCCCAAAAGAATGACATTGCACAAGTAGTAGAGCCATGTCCACAAAAATTAACTTTAACTGTAACCTCATACCTACACAACTGTAAACTCACAAAAGTTCAGATGCCTAAATGTAAAATTTTAAAGCATGAAAGTACAAGAAAACATAGAAGGAAATACTGATACGATGAGTTTGAAAAGATTTCTTAACTAAAATACAAAATATACAAACTACCAGACATTTACAGATCAGTAAGGTGGACTTCTCTAGCAGTTATGACATTTGCTTTTCAAAGATGTCACTATGGAAAAGATTAGGAAAGGCAGAGTCTGAGAAAAGTATCTGTAAAATATATAGTCAATGGTAGATTTGTATCTATAATATGTAAGAGGACGGAGGGAGGGGAAATCGGGAGGGAAGGGAATATTAAAAAGAATTGAGAAGTAACATGTACATGTACCAGCTCCCCATGGTAAATGTAATCACTATGTACTGCAAACATGCACTATGTCAAAAATAAAAATTAAAACAGAATCACTACTAAACAGATAAGCAATCTGATTTAGAAAAGGTCAAAAGATTTAAATAGAAAAAAGATTTAAATAGACACTTGCACAAAGATATATAGATGGCCCATAAGTAACAAAAAGGACACCTAACATAGTCATTATGGGATTTCAAATTAATATGTAATGTAGACGAGACTGTCTGAGGCTCACCATACAAAGTGTGGATAAGGAGCAACAGAAATCTAGGATTCTCATGGACTTCTGGTGCAAATGTAAAGTAATATATCACAATAAAAAGTAGCTTCACAGGAAGTTAAGTGTACTCCTATCTTATGATCCAGCCATTCTTTTCTCAGCAATTTTATCAACAGTAATGAAATCATAATTTCATTGTAGTAACCAAATGTGTACAAAAACTTTATTTATAATAGAAAAAACTGGAAATAAGACAAGTGCCCATTAGTAGGTGAGTGGATAAACAAAGTGTGGTATATCCATGCAATGGAATATTATTCAACATTGAAAAGAAATGAGCAACTAATTTAAGTAAGAGTATGGTTCAATCTGGAATAATTATGGTGAATGAAAGAACCCAGACAAGAAAGGTGCATGCCGTATAAATCCAATTATATAACATTTTGGAAAACACAAATTATTCCATTAATGGAAAGTATGGGTGCAAATACCTAGGATCACGATTAGGGAGGAGTGAGCAAGAGAGATATGAAGTAACATGAGGAAATTTTGGGAGTCATAGATAGATTCATTGCCCTAATTACAATAACAGCTTCATGGGTGAAGAATTATGGCAAATTGTACCAAACCACACATTTCAAATAAATGGTTTATTTTATGTTGATTGTAGCTGCTATTCAGTTTTATGATTTGGCCTTCCTTTGTTTGGCACTGATGCCAATCTAAATCCAGAAAGGCAGGCTGCCAGGTGGCTCATGGGCACAGAATTTGCCTTGCAGTGGCTCTCGGAGTCTCCCAGAATGGCCCTAGAATCTTCTAGAAGCAGATGAAGTGAGCCACATGCGTCACATTCCTCTAGTAGTGAAACTGATGTCAGTGCTTTGTTCCTGATTAGAAAAATGGGAACCAGACCCAGAAAAGCTGGGTCATTTTCTGCACTTACAACCTTCAAATTCTAGGGCCTGTTTTCCTTCCTTTTGGAGACCATGCACTGCAGTCTCTCTTTAAATACAGCTGCACATTTTCCCACTCCTTTTCCTGTACAAGTGTGTTGCGTATGAATATTTTAGAAGTAGCCTCTCTTTTCAGGCATTATTTACATGTATTCCACATTTCTGAATAAGTGGAAGAGGACAGCCATATGGTCCTGCAAGCCTGGGTAGACATTTTAAGTCTGCAAAGATTCAAAATATGTCATCAAGACCTTGTTTGGCTACAGTGTCATCTTTAAAAATGCCATCCTTTCCCCCTCTGCACTTGTAAGCTCATTAAATTTTCAGAAACAACACCCAAACAGAAAATACTTGCGCCAATTCCAAATCAGTTCCTCGGACTTAATGGTCGTGACTTGAAGGCTGTGAGGGAACAAACATAAATCACATGGGATCACCTCCCCCACCTGCCTCTGCCCAGGAAACGGATTTTGAAGGTGACAGGTGATAATACTCATTAAAACAGGATAAAACAAAACTAAGACCATGCTCACAAAAGGGAACAACTTACATGTAAAATCTATGTGGTGTATTTCTTTCTATTTGAAGCTAGTCAAAAGTAGCCTGGGGCAATGCAAACAAAAACAAAGTAAAATCTGTTTAAATCAAGAGTGAAATTAAAGCTGCAAGGCGGCAGAGCACCGTGTGGAGCCGGCTGCAGCTCAGGCAGTGGCACTGCCAACGCCTCTGACTCAGGCCCGGAAGGCTGGTGATTTGGGATTCCACATTAATTTTGCTCACTTGAGTGACCCAGCAAAGTACATCACTATACCCTTAAAGGCTCAATTTCCTCACGTGACCTAAAACAATAATACCCCTTATGTTC